ACATCTACACCTTATCAACTACATGAACCTATGAGCAGGTGCAAACGGTACCAGCCAGTGCAGATGGAGAGTTCTAGCAGGCCTCTAAACCAGAGACTACTGTGCCTCTTACCACAAGCTCAAAAACAAAAATGCTCTCTCCCCAAACTCAAGAAAAGAAACCTTGACTTACACCTCACACCTCATGTGAAAACTGACTCCAAATTGAGTCATAGGTCAAAATGGAAATGGAACTAAAATCTTCTAGAATTAGACATAGGAGAAGCTCTTTGTGAGCATGAATTAAGCTTTTTCAAACCCTATGCTATTAAAAAATAATTAAGTTGGACTTTATCAAAATTTAAGGCTTCCACTTTTTTGAACGACACCATGAAGAAAATGAGAAGATACATTACATACTAGAAGCTGATATTTATGAAGCAAAGGTCTGGTGGAAAGGACCTGCATTCACAATAGACAAGAACATTTAAAACTCACAGAAAACAAATCAAAAGACTTTACAAGAAAAGATTTGTAGACAAGTGTTCAATATCACTAGGCATGAGGAAAAGCCTACGCAAACTGCAGTCATTGTGTATCTATAGCTTAACAAATAAAAAACAACAGCAAAAGCCAGCCCCTAAGGATTCCGAATAACGAGGGCTCCATTTGTTGCTGCTAGCGCTGTGAAGTGGTCCAGCTGCCCTGGAAAGCAATTCAGAGTTTCCTCATAAAGTTCAAGAAATATCTGATGTCATGATCCCACTCTTGCAATGTACCAAGAGAAATGAAAGCCTATCTACTAGAGAATCCATACATGACTGTGTGAAACACATTTGTTCACAGTAGCATGTAGCTGAAAACAATTCAGAAGTTCACTCACTACGCAAACTGTACTCATCTATGATCAACACAATGGATTATTACTAAGTAATGGAAAAGGAACCCATTACTGATGTGTGCGACACCACCGATGTTAAGCACTATGCTAAGCATCAGACAGTAGATAGACAGAAAGACATTCTGAACAAGGCAAGAGTACAGGAACAGAATTCAGATCACTGTATGCCAAGGGCTAGTTGGGGGCTTTATTCTTTATTTTCTACAAAAGGATTGGAAAAACAGGGAGAGAACAAGAGAGGGAAAGGGTGACATTATCCAAAAGGAAATGTACTCTTTGCCTGACTTAAGTCACTGTAGCCCCTCTGCTTTTAGTAGTTTCAAATAAAAATAATAATTAAAAACGAAGGATTAGAGAGAGTAAATAGATACATATATGTTGAATTCTGTGTATTCCTTTTGTATGATGGCCACCTTACGATACATGTTTATTGGAACTCCTCAAACTGTACACTTGAGAAAGACAAACTTTACTAGATGTAAATGATCTCTCAATAAACTTGACTAAGATATGATCATAATAAGGGTGAGCTTTACCAACTGCTCACAGCAACACAGGTTGTTCTTTACTGCTGGTTCCAGCAGATGTCTTCATTTCCTTTCCCTTCTTCTGCACTTCCTGCTAAGACTCCAGGAAATTGAGAGAACTCATCTGCAGACCATTGGTGGGGGGTGGAAGGGGTGGGGGAGAATCTGTGCTATTCAGTTCAACTTCTCTTGGGGATTTGGTCAAGTCACCTAATCCCTCTCAGCCCAGATGCAAAATGAGGGATGATTTCCCCCTACCTTCTTTCCAGGTCTAGGATTCTAAATTATACCTGAAAGGAAATGAAAGCTTACTGAAAAACTGTGTTTCTATGGAGAATTGGGTAAATGCTACACACACCATGATGATGATGTAGACCTCAGGCCCTCACTCTCCCATGCTTCAGAGGTCCCCGTTTCCACTCACAGACACTAAAGTGCATCTTCCAGCCCTCCTAAACCTTCATCCCCAGGAATTCAATAAGAGAAAACAGGTGGATCATCATTAGCATGCAAAGCCACGCCCCCTGATTCTTAAGGATGAGGTCATCAGACAATAGTTTCCAAACCCAAATCAGCATCATCTCCAGTTCTTTGCTGAGGGCCTGAGCATGTCCCATGCAACCCAAGTTCCTCACACCACCCAGCAGGGATAAGGCCCTCTGCCTGGGCTCCATAGGTCCCTTACCTGGGAGGTCTCTTGTGGAATAACATGCTCTCCTCTCTCACAACTGAAGACAGGCAACCTTACCTCTTTGAATAAGAAGTCCCCAAATCAAGAGCATAAATTCCCATTCTACCACTTGCTCTTTGTGTGGCTTTGGGTGACATCTAACCTCTCTAAGCCCCAACTTCCCCTTCAGGAAAACGGAGGTTGCAGACCAATTTCACAAGGCCCCTTGGGTTGATGAAATCAGCACATCACATTCTTAGCACAGAGCAGGAAGTACTAAATTAATGTCAGTTGTTAGTTAACTTGCCATAATTTGAAAAGTGCCAGTTCTTGTGGGTTTTAGCAAATGCAGAGATTTCTTCACTGATGCTCACTGAAAAAAAGATGAGCTACCTTGGAATGGGAGGAAAGGATAGTCCTATTTGAAGATACTACCTGGATTTTTCTAAGTAGAGATAGGTGGGGGATGAAGAATTCTCAGTGTAGTTTGAATCCCAAGAATTGCCCAACAAAGCAATGTTATCTGAAGTAGATTTTTCCTTGAGAAGAGACAGGAAGAGCTATCCAAACAAAACAGGCTAGCTCTGGGATGCCTGCACATGGCTATCCTACCTTCAAAGTATGAGTGCAGACCAATTTCCATGGGAGAAAGAAGTACAAAGAGGCTCCCACACTGATCCCAGCAGCTTTGCTGGTGTCTGGAGAAGATTCTAAATTAGCTCATTGCTGTTCATTCACATCAGAGCCAACCAGGACACATTCCGTTTTTAATCTGGACCAATTTTACGGATCAAAAACTAGTCTTTCCAAGGGATGTAAATGAGCCCAGGAGGGAAATTTCCCTGAAGTTTACGAAGTAGCTGTCATTTTAATCTGAGTGCTTTCCAATCTAAAAGCCAGTGTCTGGATAAATTATAAAGTAATTTAAACAAAAAACAACTCTTCTAGGCTGAACCTAATCTAAACATGCCTTCTCCCTCAAACTTGATGTATGTAACAGTCCAAAAATATTTACAAGGTAGAGTTTCCACAATCCAGATACTAATAGCACTTCATATAAAACCAAAGAGGCCAACATGACATATATGTGGCATGAATGCTAAAATAAAAACCCTGAATGAACCAGAGAGAAAATATTTGTAGGAAAGGAACAAGAAAAGGAAAAGGAGAGATACAGGGTGAATAGAAATGCTATTTAAAATACTTTAAAATTCTGTTTCAATAGATTAAAGTCTATCTATCTATTGAAGTCATGCCACTCAGATTTAGGAACTATAGAAATAACTACACATTGCTCCAAAAAAAATGGACTAAGTGGATTTATGTGAAGGCAAAAATTGATCAGGATATGGTCCTTCCTACTAAGGAGGAAAGTTAGAAGCTAGCAGGCCTTTATTGAAATCCTTGAAGATGCTCGTGGGTTCCTGGGCATATGGGAAGAGAAAGAACTAAATACAATACTGCTCTGGACTGCTGCTTTTCACTTTATTTAAGAAACTGAATAGTGTGTAAGGGGAAAGATGTGGTGCAGATGATGATAATGAGTCTAAATTTCAAGCCACCAGTGACAGAGATAAAACCTACCAACTGAAGATGGGTCCCACAGCCCAGAGCAACAAGTCATACCACTCCAGATAGATCCTTGAACAGTGAAAATATTTAAGCAGCCAAGTGAGAACCTGCCAAGATTATTTTCTTTGCCCTGTGATAAATTTTCCCCGGTTTGCCTGGTTCTTATAGAAACATTTGTGAAGACAAACTGCGCTTTCTGGGAGGTTTTGCAGACTGTATTCAAATAGTCCCATTGTTTCCCATTGTTCCCAAGATATAATTAATCCCATAAGACAGCTTCACTTACAATGTAAGCAAAGAAAAAAACCAGTTTTTTTTTCCTTCAAAATTTTAAATATGGTCCCAGCAAAGAAGGCATAAAAATCATTATTCGGAACCCATGTTTAGAACTTTATCATTTGCAGTATTATACTTTGAGCAATTTCACAACGCAGGTCAAATCAAACGAATACAAAATACACACTTTTTAACCTATTAAAAGCAGTGGGTGAATGACGGGATGGGGAGGGAGGAGAACACAGTCAAAAATTCATTGTCTATACCATGAAAGAAGGGGTAGGTGGAAGGGGGGCTTGAAGGGAGACCACTGATCCAGACGCATTGTATTCATAAATTGCTTTGTGAACTGGCACTTCTTGTGTGCAACGACTTAAAGATCATTTTATACATTTTTTAAAAAGAAAGAAAAGAAGCAATGGACGTGCCGGTCACTGTGGTTTCAAGTTCTCACTTTAGGATAGTTGACAACGCCATACAGCTTTTGTTTAAACAGCGGAGCAAAGACCAGGGTGCAGCACAGGATCCAATGAAGCCACGGGGCACCCCTCTAGGCAGGAAGGGCCCCAAGGCTGGAACAGCCAGGAGTGGGGCGCACATCGCTGCCGAGCCCCGTGGGCAGGTCGAGAGGCGGGAGGGGGGGGGGAAAGAGGGGGCTCCAGGAAATGTCTGGGCTCCGGCACCATGAATTCATTCAGATGTTTGGAGAACCAACCAACCGGGAGGGGCTGTTGGATTCCTCGCAGTTGCCATCCTCTGTAATTGAGACAGCATGACTACTGCCCCAGCTCAGTCTCCGGCTCTCCGTGCGCCCACACAGACCCACCACGTCCCCTGGTTCTGGAACACAGATCATTTCTTTTCACCACCAAAAAAACTAAAACCTCCCTGGGAGAGCCGGGCTGGGGAAGCGCGGGGCTCGAGCCCGTCTCTCCCTGCGCTCCCGGGGCGGAGCAGGAGCCGCTGAAGCTGGTACTGCTCCGAGGAAGGACGGGAGCTGTGCCGCCCGAGGGCCGGGCCTGGGGCGCCCCGGGCGGGGTGATCTGGAAGGAGAGACCCCCTCCCGCTGCGTTACCTGCTTTCCGGAGGGAGGCTCTGAGCGCCGCCGCGCAGGGCTGCAGGCTGGAAGCCAGGAGCAGGAGCCAGACGCCGGGGATTAGATCCATGTCTCCGCGGGTGCCACAAAGTTTCCCCAAGTCCCGGGCGCGCGGGGACCCGGCGTCTCCGGGGGCGCGGGGCGTGCGGGGGGCGCGAGGGGCCGCGGACCCGCGGGCCCCGGGTGCGGGTGGGGAGGGGGCTGACGGTGATCCGGAGCCTCCGGGGAGCCCTGGGAGGCGGGACCGCAGCCGGGAGTGCAGCCGGCTCGGAGCGGCGGGGCTGGGCGGAGGGCGGGGAGGCGAGCGGGGGAGCGGGAGGCAGGCGGTGGGAGGACCGCAGGCTGGGCTCGCCGGGGATGCAATCACAATCTAGTGCGAGTGAGCAGGGCAGGCCTGCCCCCTCGGAGTCCTCGCCCAGCTCGGGACCGGCCCGCCCGCCGCCCTCGCCGCCCGGGGTGCCCGACCCTGCGCTCGGGGTCTCCGGGCCGCCCGGTGACCTAGGCTGGGGGCCTGGGAGGGGCGGGCTTCACGTCGGCGAGGGCTGCAGGGGTCAGGTCTGACCCTGAACTCTCTGGGCACATTACCAGCCCGCCCCCCGTTCTGGCGACCCCCCCCCCCCGCTTTGGCGGTGGCTCCAGCTGGCTGCGCACCCAGTTTAGTAACTTGTCCCGACGCCCCGGGGACCCGGCGGACCGCGGGGGCGGGGCTAGTGTGCGAGGGGGCGGGGCCAGCCGGGGCGAGTTAAGAGATAAATGGGATTTAAGGCGAGCAGATGGAGCGCTGGGGCTGCTCAGACAGTAAGGCCGAGTGGAGATTAGGGCCCCTCCGGCAGATGATGGCAACTTGAGACCCTCCCGGGAAGGGGATAAAACTCCACAGTAATCCGGACCTTTGGGAAAGGGATGCGAACTCCAGACCTTGGCTAGCCTCAAACCTCTCTGGAAGGGGGCAACTAGCAGGGGTTGGATCGGCCCTGAAGGCCAGAGCCAAGTTCTGGCCTTGACTCCTCTGTCTTTGGGCGGCCCCAGGACTGGGTAAGACCCCAGGACTGCAAGGTTTCAAGTAAGGCCTGGAAAGGGGAGACTCCAAGAAAGGAAAGACCCCAGAGACCAAGTTCTAACACATACTGGCATTGTGACCTCTAAGCTGCGAGAAGAGACCGCAGATGCAATAAATAAGCCAAGAAGAATAAACTGAAAGGAAAACACGTCCTTAGCCAGTTCCTGGGGAAAGATCAAAGGCCCCAGGAAGCGCCCTACAGACAGACGCTGACATTGCTGGCCCTGAGGGCGGCCTGTAATCCCCAGCCAGGCTCAGTGGACCTCAGTGCCTTGGAGTGCTCTAGAAGGAGCTGAGGGGGATGGTACTGACTGGTGGGCTCTCCTACCCCAAGATAGTTTCCCATCAAAGAATGAGCCTGAGAATATGCTCCTTTAAATGATGGCATTTCCCAGTGTGCAACAGTCCACGAATAAATCTAAATTCCACTCCAAATTGAATCATTAGGCCTCCCTCTTAGCTGTGACTCCAGAGCTTGCCCTTTTACATAGAACTTGTATAGAAAAGAGCAGTATTCTTCACTTCCCAGCTGAGACCGGGCAAGGAAACCATACAAGGCAACTGTCTCCAGAGACGCTGGAACTAGGGTTGACTAAGGGCCACAGAGGTCATTGGGACTCACCTCTTCTCCCCACTCCCATGCACAGACACCATGGTGCAAGGAACATGTTCTTAGGTCAAGGGACACCAGATTCCAGTGTGGAGTGCTCAAGTGGAACAAAGTGACCCAAGCAAGATTCAGAGTAGAATTCAGATATCAATAAATGCCCAAGAAGTGGCTGGACAGCTATGTTCAGGAGAAAGAGATGTCTTACACCAGCAGCACAGTGGAGCCCAAGGCCCAATAAGCGGGAGAATGTAGAATCCTTACACGTTGTTTCTGATTTTTCCCGCTGAAAAGTGATTCTCCCAAATACAGAATTTCTTAAGTTATATTTAAGTAGTTCTACAAAGGAGAGGTCATTTAACAGAGCAGTTTATGAATACAATAGATATTGATCAATGTCACCCCTTCCAACATTCTGATCCACTGGAAGCAATAGCTGTCACTGAGTATGGCTGACATTTGCATAATGTCTTTAGTGTACCAGATCCTCTGTTTTTGTTTTCATATGGACCCTGGGCTAGAACTCAAAGCATAGGTCTGCCCCTGAGCTTTAGTACTCAAGGCTTGTGTTCTACTACTTGAGCCACAGCTCCATATCCAGCTTTTTGGTGATTACTTGGAGATTTGTGTCTCACAGACATTCCTGTCCAGGCTGGCTTTGAACCACAATGCTCAACGCTCAGCCCCCAGAGTAGCTAGGATTACAGGCAGGAGCTACCAGAACCTGGAGTCAGATTCTCTGTGAAATGCTTTTTAACCCCTATGACATTATATCATTGACATCATCCCTAATTCCCAGATGAAGAAACTGAAACTTGTCAAGGTCGAATAACTTGCCCAAAGTCATGCATCCTCCTAAGTGACAAACTGGGACTAAATGGAGCTGCTGTGCTTCTAGAATCCGTGTTTTCACAGAGACAAAGTGGACCAGATAGACTGTGTGAAATAATTGCTAAGTTCCTCGTTTTTATTAGGTGATAAACAGCACCACTGAATCTCAGTCCTATTTTTTTTGCTTTGAATGTGTGTGTGTGTGTGTGTGTGTGTGTGTGTGTGTGTGTGTGTGTGTGTGTGTATGTGTTTAATGACACAAATAGTCCATTCCAAATGTATGCCTAGGTTTTAGCCTTCTTGTTGATATCTTGGGCCTGTACCAGGCCCTTTTCTCCTGGACTGGTGTGGTCCTTTTCATCGTTTCCAGGTGGCCATAGGTGATTTGGGAATAGGCTTGGTTGCTTCAAAATCCTGTCTTCTTTCTACCCTCTAGGGCCTACCTGTAGTGACATTGCTATATTTTGTATTTTATTTTTGAAGGCCTCCAGACATTCTAGATACTTAGGCCAGTGAGAGAAGACCTTTCTTCTTAGAAACTGCTTGTTAACAAAGCTCAGGCCCACACTCAATCCCCATCTTTCCAACGAAATCATACCCCCCAGATTCCCTTTCCTCTCAGTTTGACAACCAGCTTGGTCCTTGTAAATCTAAAGACAAATGAAACTCACTCTTTCTTTCCTTCTCTTTCTTTCTTTCTTTCTTTCTTTGTTTCTTTCTTTCTTTCTTTCCTTTCCTTTCCTCCCCTTTACTATTTTCCTATCTTCTATTGGAGAGGAGCTAAAGAGGACAAAAGGACTTTGAGAGTTTCATTTTAAAAAAATGTTCAAATTCTCTGGCGATCTAAACTCAATTAATAAGGTCGCCAGTCGGAGAGCAACCTGCCTATCTTGTTCAATATCATGCAAGATGAGTTTGACCTTTGCTTAAGGGGATAGATTTAGAGATTGTTAGGAGAAAGGAAAGACAAACTTACCAATTATGGGATGTTTAGTAAGGCTCTCAATGGATTTGCTATGTGCATTGGATCAAATGCATAGTGAAACATGAATTTCTCCCTTTCTTTGTGAAAAAAAAAGCTTACTCATTTCTTAGGAATCCTTCTAGAGACAGACGCTCTTTGAACATAAAGTAAAGTATAAACGTGTATTTTTCACAAACAAGAGCATCTTCAACATGACTGCTAATCTCAATATCATTCCAACTCAGTAGATCGGTCTTCCTCTCGCTAACATCTGAATAATATTCTATTGTGTGATATATGATTTATTTGTTCTTTCTTCTGCTGTTTTCAATTGTATTATAAAACACACTACAGTGAATGACCTAGAACGCCGAAGAGCTTGCACATGTTATAAATGACTGTAGGGCTCATTTCTAGATAGCCATTGCTCACTCAAAAGTTTAATTTTGTTCATTTGCCCAAATTTCCTTCCAATAAAAGTATACTAATTTGTACTCAAACAAGTAACATGTGAGCATAACTCTTTCCACAAATGATATCAATATCATATCACATCAAACCAGATCTAAATATGATGCATGATATGCATACATGATAAATACATGTCATATACTTTATTTAACATGCAATATATAAGTGGATGCAAATGATAAATGAGACACTTGATGAGTTATATATAGGAAAATGAGCATACTTGTATAATAACCAACTAGTTGGAGAATAGGAGTTTACCAGCACACAAAATCTCTCCTCTAGCCTCCTCTCTAGTCTATATTTCTTAAGAAAAGTGAAGAGAATTCACACCTCCCATTTGCTTTTTTAAAACACATAAATAAACATAGAAAAGCAAACAATGAGAGCATTTTCCCCACATCTAATACAAACTAAACATTGATTGAAAGTGAATCCCATTATGCATGAGGCTCTGTGCTAAGGACAGAAATAAAATGTTAGAGAAAATACAACCAAAGTGTATTGCCAGTTCACCTAAGAGGAATTCTGTCTTGTTGGGAGAAGAAAATAGTCTCGCAGCTAAACTATGTATGAGACAGAACAAAGGAAGCCCTAAAAATTGCATGCAACATATTCTTAGGTAAAGAGGAAACAACTTCCAGCCTCAAGTCCTGAAGTGGAACATGACCCAATGGAGATTCTGAGTAGAATTCAGATGTTAACAGAGTACAGGAGTTGGGGGAGTGATAGAGGAAATTAGTATTGTGGGGTTTGCTTTTTGTTGTTATTGGTTTGTTTTGTCTTTTCTTTTTTAGTAATGATTCTGAACATCAGAATAGGCTTATTTGGGTGAAAAAGAAAGTATGAATGAATCTGAATGTAATATAGAGCAGACCAGACAGAGTACTTGCTGGGACAGGAGGAGTGATCAGGACTGAGAAAACAAGAGACAGGCCTGAATACCTTAGGAGAAGAAAAACATGGAAGAGCTTGAGTCTAGCACTCTCAATGGGTGGTGGGCTGGAAGGCCCTGTACTTTAGGTGATCCTGTCTAGGATCACCTGCAGGGAAGAGAGCCAAGAGCTATCAGGAGTTACCTGACAGCATGGGCTGAGACACTGGGGACTTTCTGAGGGTATCTGATCTCCATTTAACTGCAAGTCACACACAACATAGC